TGGCAACCAGGTAGATTCCTCAGCAGGAAAGTCAGTTCGTAAAGAAGCAGTCAACCAAGATCCTAGGTGCCGACATGAACACGCCGTAGTCCCCTATCGTTCTTTCCGTGTCCTTGTCGTTGGTGCGAAAGATTCCTCAAAGTTAATTTGGATGTTTGCAAACACCGTGCCTCGGCGCGATCAGACACCCTAGAACGCCGTTCGCACAGCGCTCCGCTAAAGGTCGACGGTGTCTTGTGTGAGCAATGAAACAGATCCACCCGCGGCGTGGTGGTGTTAGGGGAGGTGTGCGGGGGGAGCGGCGTCCAGTTCCTCGCCACCCTCCGACATCTGTCTGCAATGTGTCAGCCCCGAGCCCAACACGGCCGCTCAGGCTATTAACCTCCACGGCGGAGTTGGGAGCCCCGTCGGCCGAATCTCTCGCACACAAATCCACTCCGGCCCCTCCGGTGTCTTTTGTTCAGCACACTCACACTGGCCTGCGGGGGCATCCAACCTGGCAGTGAGGCGGTGACACAGTGGGACCTTGAATCAAACCGCTGTCAGCGTTCACAATGGATGTCGGCGACGACTCGAAATGGGGCCATAAACGGCAAATAAATGACAGCCATCGGCGTGGAGATTGTGATTATGATAATGAGAATAATAAGGGAGATCATCATCACCATCGGCGTGATAACGATGATATTGTCACGATAAATTTGATTGAATACATCGCAAAGCACATTTTGCGCCACGCTTGGAAATGGATCACGGAGAGGCCACGGTGTGTCACTTCCATTTCACACAAGGGTCTCCCACAAGGCTTTGCGGTTTGTCTTCTGTGTGCGACGCTTCCAACTAGCTCCTCAAGATGCTATCTGATGAGCGGCCCTGGTTTGAGGGTTTCTCAAACTTTTTTGCTCCGTCAAATTTTTTCTCTATGGACCTGCTCATCATCCTAACACCAATTAAACATAACTCCGGCATGTCAGTTCTCGATTTGGGGAATTGTACCTTGTATGTGTATATTTTGTAAAATGAATATCAGTAAAACTCCTCTACAACGAAATCATGTTTGCAGCAAGAAATTTTTCACAACAGGGGGTTTTTCACTGTAGCAAATTTGATCTCAGATGTAAACACACACACACACACAATCTCGTCACGAGGCAAGCACAGAGAAAAATTTCGTATAACGCAATGGCTTTTTTTTTTTTCGTTGTATGGGGGTAGTAAAGTGGGAATGGCATGAAGATTTTTTCACACTAGGGCGTATTTTCGCCCATGTAGGTTTCGTTGTAGAGGAGTTTCACCGTAGTATTCTTCCTCTAGGTCGTTGTGCTTTATTTTGAATCCATGTAATGCGTTTTCCTGTTTTGAATTTTTAAAAATCCAATATTTATCATTTACCTTTTCCGCCGTGTTGTGTTGTGCTGGTGGGCGTGACCGAACAACGACAGGTTGCAGCAGCATTGTTGATATTTTTTGACAAATAGATTACACGTACAATAGGAAGAGATGTCATACATTTTGAACGTCTGACAGACCACGCGCTAACAAATTCGTCCCGTCTCATCAACGAAAACTCACATCCGTCACGTGATATTTTAGTCATCAAAGAGCCACATTTGTCTCGTCATCGTCTCATCGTGAAAAAAAAAAGGGGGTGTTCACGAAATAATTTCGTCATGGTCAACGTTGACAAAAAAAAAAAAAAACAACACTGCTGGGGAGCAGGCTGTGCTCCGGCGGCCATCTTAAGATCGCCAGTTTGCCGCCCCCCCCTCACAAGAAGACACCTTTGGAAAACAAAATCACAGAGCCAGGATGTTCTTTGTGTACCGATGAGTGAGTGTGAAAAAGTGAGTCAGTGCTGGCGTCCTCGTTTAGTCACCTAAGAGCTATAATTGCAAATGCTCTGCTAATTAGGAGCCTGTGTTTTTCGTTTTGTTTCTCCCCCCCTCCCCAAGGCGAAGCTTTCACAAGCTCATTAGGTGGGCACCTTTGCACTTTTCACACCGCCCACAATAGAGAAAGATCTAAATGGAAAGTCAAAATGAGTCATGAGAGCAAATGAATTTATAGAAAGACTGTAATTGGATTGAAAAGAAACACTAGAAAGTCACTACCCAGTTTGACACGTTGCAGCTTTAGTATGCAATGCTCGAAACAGGAAGTTGAAAGGACATCAAGTCCGGGCTAAGTTGTGGACAGGTTGCAAATGACTCTCTTAACGGCGTCTCGTTTTGGCGAGTGCCAAAAGTGTTTCCTCAGCAAAGTTGTCAAGGAGAGGTGCCGTCGGTTGTTCTGCTAACTTTTCAATGGAGGGCTACGAACAGTTGTTTTGAAAATTTGTCAGTGGTAGGCACATTCGGAAAGCTACGAAATGGGGGAGCGATCACGTTAGGCCAAACAAGTTTAACTCTTTCAGTGCCAACCATTAAAAAAAATTTGAGAGCATTCTGACTGATTTTTCAAGGCTCGCAGAATATTGTTTTCGGACGACTTCAACACAGAAACTACCAAATGAAAGATTACACTCTCTTCTTTCACCATCAAGCGCTTATTCCATTTTTTTAAATAACCAGCAGTGGAATATGGGTTGGTTTCACCCAACTCACCTATTTAGTGAAAAATTATTTTATGCACAACAGTGACTTTGCTGCAAGTTTTGCTTTAGTGACGCCTCAAACATGTGAATCGTCTTTTTGTCTATAAAATACCACCAACAACAATGAAAATGTGATTTTGATGGCAAAATAACGTTTGACAAACTTTACAAACTATTTGCACGGTATGTAGTCGTAGTAGTATTTAGTCGTGTGTGTGTGCACGCATGCTTATGTGTGTGTGTGTGTGTGTGTGTGTGTGTGTGTGTGTGTGTGTGTAGGTACATTGTTATATCTTGTACTTCTAAATTTAAATCATCATCTTTTCTCCCTTTTGTGAGACACTTTGTAGATTTATCGTGACGAGCACTAAGATCAATCACAAGCTGCTTGTAATGGTCGCAATTCCAGACATCCGCCATGTTCCCAAGGGTCAAGCATTGTTTTGAGACATCGTTTTTATTTTTTAACTTTCCCAGTTTAATGATCAAAGCAGAATTGACTTTTCTGCGCCCAATCCCGTCCTCGTTAGGTTTCCCGTCAGTGAGGCATGGTCAAGTATGGTACCTTGGAGACGGTTGCGCGATCAGTTGTTTGTCATTCTTGTAGACAACCGGGGTGCGATTCGTGATTTGAACTTTTTGACGGGTATTGTGTGGCAAAGTTCAAGAATAAAGGATGCGAGCCATTGTTTTTTGAAAATTCTAGACAGTGGTTCGGTCATTGTTCTGTGAATTTCTAGTGTGGTGTGATTAGCTTGTTCACTTTTATGACGAGGCAAGGTACGAACTATTTGGCGAACTTATCAAGATTGGTGCTATCAGTAGTTTGGCTGTGGTCAAAGGACTGGCGACGAAAGGAGGGGTGCGTTCGGTGGTTCAGTAAGCTTGTTGTGACCGTTTGTTTGGCCAATGAGATGACTGGCGTGCAATTATTGGTGAGACAGCATGGGCAATGTTTTTTAGACTTTTTAGATGCAACGTTGACGCCGGGCGGGATGCATTTGGTCATTCCGCAAACATTGCGGGGTGTCACCGGTTAAACTCTCAAGCTGGGGCACTTGCAAGTCAAGATACTTGTGTGAATGTGTAAATCCCGAAAGATTTGCCCAGTGAGTTTCTTCCCCGAAAAAAAAAAAGCCAAGCGTAAAAATACTGTGAAAGCGCGTCCACCTGAACGCCGCCAGACATCCATCAACGCTGTCATGGTGGGGAACGAGCGGGATTTGTCAGCTGTGGCCGACACGTCGTTTATATCGAAATGTCAGAATGGCATTCGCATAATGATGGAAACAACAACGCTTCGGGCTCGGGGTCCCCTCGCGTGCCAACAACGTCGCTAATGTCTCCGGTCTCGGCGCGTCGGGCCGCCGTGGGATCTATATCCGCGGCTTTTTGTCAGCGCCTTCAATCTTGCGTCTAGCTCAAGAGCTAAACGCGAGAGATTAATACGCGGATTTGTGACGCGCAAGCTCCACGTTGACATTATAACTCATCGGCTGTTTATCGCCTCGCCGTTCTCGCTGGATTGGGAAATGACTGACGCAGGAAAAGCAACGCTTCTTCAACTAGGCGGGGCTGCCAGCTGGATTTTGGTGGTTCCACAAAATAATTTGGAAGAAATGTCATAAAAGTGCTTACTTACGTCTGGCAACCAACAAAACAAACTGATTAGTGTCGTCCTGTATTTTGTAGGGATAAAGACATCTTTTACAGAATAATTTTAACAAAAAAAATCAATAAAACAGGAATTTATTCCCTTGCTTAATTTTGATTTTATCTTAGAAAAATCTTTTTTTTTTTTTTACCAGAAAAAAATACCACGCTACTCTTAGAACTTAAAAGATTTTTTTTAGATAAAGACATACTTTTTTTTTTTATAACATTGTGACTTCTCTGAAAAAAAAAATTAAATGTCTTATCTTGACAAAATGTGTTTTGTTCTTGTAAAGAGTAGGATTTTGGTCTTGGAAAAAAATACCCTTTTGGTCATTTCAAATTTTTTCTTCCAAAAAAATTGGACTATTGGTGCTTTTTTTCTTTTTTTTCTTGTAAAGAGTAGGATTTTGGTCTTGGAAAAAAAAAATACCCTTTTGGTCATTTCAACTTTTTTCTTCCAAAAAATTGGACAATTGGTGCTTTTTTTCTTTTTCTTTTTGTTCTTCTTTTTTTTCCAAAATGTCTTTGCTGTTGAAAAGATATATGACTATTCTCATAAGCGTATTTATTTTTCGAAAAAAAAAAATAGGGTTTACACAAGGTCGTTTCACTGGCAATGGGATTGTGAGGGGCTCCTTGGAAAAATGAACTTGATGAAAGGGGTCGGTAGATCCTAAAAAGTTTGAGAATGTCTGCTAAAGTGTAGCACGGTGGCTAATGAGCGTCTTACCCTGTTTTGATCCCCTGGCAGACAGACGACGTGACGCAAACGGACGCCTCGCAGCACTCAGACTCGTCGGAGAAGCAGCAGCCCAAACGGTTACACGTGTCCAACATTCCCTTCCGCTTCCGGGACCCCGACCTGAGGCAAATGTTTGGGGTGAGTAGGGACCTTGGAACACCACAATGACCCGGACCACGCTGACATCTCAGCCCACCGTGACACCACAGAATCAATTTTAGCCCCCACTAAGTGTGTAAAAAAAATGAGTCGTGATGAGAATGAAGCGATTAGAACTTGATTGTAAAGTGATTTTTTTTTTTTTTAAGGAAGAATAAAAGTCTGTCTGCTGGTGCAGGTTTCCTTTCACATCCGACCAGCTCGGCGTCCATCTGTCCGGCCGCTAATAAGGCAAAGCGTCGCACGCCTGGATAAACGCCGTTAGAAGAATAGAACGCCAACATCTGACAGCTCTAAATGGAGCCAAAAATGGACATTAAGCGCGATGAGCTAATTGGACATTGAGTGGCCAGATGCGCCGGCAAAGACGGCGTCGGGCCCGGGCCCGGGCCAAGGCCCCGTCTGCGGCGTTGTGCCGTAAATACTCGACAACCTGGCCCTCTCTCGCGACAACTTTAGTGGGTCCTCTGAAAGGGCCTCCGTAATTAGCTCGGAGGGAAAATTGATTGCTTCCCACCTCCAGAAATGCATAATTTGCTCACAAAAAAAACAAAACAACAAAAAAAATCTTACATTGGGCTTTGGAAATGCTGGCTTTTTCCACTACCTATATTGTGGCTGGCTAAGTACCAGATTTGCTTTGTGATTATCTCAGGCCCTAAGCATGCTCGCCTGCCTTTCGTACAGTCAAGGTGGAATCTTGCCAGGAAAAATTGTGCAAAATACCCCAATTTTTTTTTTCCTTGAAAGAAACTTTTTCTTTTAAATTCTCTCTAAAAATAATGTCAGTTTTAATCTCTTAGTATTACAATTATATTTTTTTGTTGTTAATCGCACTCCTTTTTCCTCCTAAAAAGATTTTCATACTACTCACTTTGTCTCTAAAAAAAAAAGACTTTGTCTTTAATGTACAACAACTTTAATGACAACTTTTTCCCCCCAAAATAATATTTCCCTCTCATGTGTACCTTTTTGTCCCCTCAAAAATAGAACTTGAGACAGACAGGCATAAAGCAAATCTCTGGAATCTTGCCACTAAAAAAAAAAAAAAAAAACAAAAAAAAACTTCATCCCCTGTTACCCCTTTTTTTTTTCACAATTTAAATCTCAATTGTGTCATTTTCTGTCCTGTAACACTTTGCATAAAACGCATCACGTCACATCCGTGATCAATCCTATTTTATATTCACCACATCTAGAAAGGATTTCCTTCCAACCTCAACATCGCATAACCCTCAACTTCCCAAAGACGTACAGGAACGCACTTGAAATCAAGCAACGGGCATTTGAATTTAACATCCGGCTTCAATGATCGCATCGGAAATCGGAGTGTGAAATGGCGCGCGTTTGACATGCGTAATGACTTTGAAGCAAGTAACCAGAGACAGCAATTGAAAGTGGCGCTCCCTCCTCTCCTTTAAGCAAGTCTCACTTTACTTTCTTTTGGCTCCTCTTGAAGCGCGGGAGTCCCAAGCCAGCCCACCTGGGGTGCTGCCCCGGGTCCTGTTGAGTGTGCGAGCGCCCACACAAAAAGGATGAAGGAGTGGGGGGGACAAAGGGGGAGGAAGTGGGGGAGGTACATGTTTGCCTCGAAAAGGTAGCGGCCGCTCCACAAATCCGAGGTCCGCCGCAGGCTCAGGAGAATAAAAAGAACACTTGCATCCTCCAGTCAACAAGCCGAAATGCTGCAGTGCAGCCAAACGCTCACAACTCACCACGCAAGCCGCGCACACACACGGATGCGATTCGGGCCTGAAGAGGAGTGCTAAAAACCTTTCTGAAAGTTGTGACAAGTAGTCAGAAGGGAAAGCTGTCCAGTGTCAAGAAAATACTAAGCTAGCATTAGCACTGGAGACAAGCTAATCTTAGTTACCCACTGCTGCTACGTTGCTAGCATGGCTTATTCATAATGGAATGTTACCATTGTAATTTTTTGGAATGTACGACGAAATGTTACTCAGAAAGAGCTACCTGTCAAGCACAAATGTTGCTCATTGTGCATCACTTCCGAATCCTCTCAGCTGCCCGACGTCCCGTTGCGCTACTTCTGTTTACTCATTTTATGTCCAGTTGTTAGCAAGCCACAGTTTCATTTTTCAGGGGCGGATATTCCAACATAGTTTCAGCAAAGCTCCTGAAATCCTGTCTCTGATTGGTTGGTTTTCCTCAGGCAAGGACGACGAGGTGCTTTCAGGGGCGGATATTCCAACATAGTTTCAGCAAAGCTCCTGAAACCCAAAGTCATGGGTCAGCGCCGGGCCGCAGGGTGTGAGCCCACGAGTACAAAGTAGATGATTGACACCTCGTCACTCACACTTTCTGTCTCTGATTGGTTGGTTTTCCCCAGGCAAGGATGAGGTGCTTTCTTCTTGCAAATTAAATTAGAGGCACAGGATGGGCCAGAGAGGGATGCTGTTTTTTTTTTTAACTTATATACTAGCGTCGCGTCTTTCTGACAGTTTTGACAAATGTACCAAAATGTCTTTTGAATTGCAAACTCTCACGGTTTTAGCACTTGGGCCAAAACTTGAGACGAGGCCTTGATTCACGACATCTGACTTACTTAGTCTTGTGTGTCGAGACCTCAAATCAGACAAAGCGCGGGAGGACTAACTCCAAGTCTTTCGTCCACTAAAGTACAAAGAGAAGGCGGTATGGATAAGGAAGTACACAAAATGAAAATTCTGCGAAAAAAAAGCGCGACAGACAAGTCGGGGAAAATAACATTGGACAAAGTAGAAGAATAAAAGGCTAATCAAGATAAAGTGCTACTGACAAGTCGGCAGATTAGCAACCGGCAAAGTACAAACACACAAAAGTACAAACAAGGAAGAAAAGAACTTATGGGGGTGAAATAAGGAGCACAAAAAACATCCAATAAGGGGCGGGACAAAAGCACTGCAAATGGCTCGGACAAAGACACCATCGAACATCTTCCTGGTTAACACTTGGAGTTCATAACAAAAAATACATATTAAAAATCAAGTTCAACTCTTCTAGTAGGTTTTTGTGTCAAATTTTTTGTTTGTGCGTTTGTTTTTGTTGCTTTGTAATAGAAGCATGAATTTTTTTTTTGTTTTGTTTTTTTTTTTTTCGTGCAAACACCGACCGCCGTTTGGAACTGCTCATAATTCCTTCCACATTTTAATGCCTCTCCCCTTTTTTCTCTTCCGCAGCAATTTGGAAAGATCTTAGACGTGGAGATTATCTTTAACGAGCGAGGATCCAAGGTGAGTCGGCCGCAACGCCAGCTGCTTCATGGCCTCGTTATGCGCTAGTGTGTTGTTTCATGTTCCTGGCTCCAAACTCGCTCGCTCGCTCGGTGACTTCAGCTTGGACAGAAAAAAAAGGTAATTGTGACCATAAAAATTGCCTTTTGCCCCCCCACCAATGCGATTCTTTGACACAAAATGGTACATTTGTCCACAAAAGTGCAATTGTTGGTGCAGAAAAGTGCAAAAAAAGGAATATTTTAACACGGGAATTTATATTCAGGTTGTATGGAAGAAGTGTGCGATCCCAAAGAACTGAAGAATATTTTTCTATTCAAACCTTATATTTGTTCACAAAAAGTTATATTTTGACCCAAAAATGCTCGACAATCCCCACAAATAATCTACATTTTCACAAAAATTGTTTCCCATGACAGATTTTTGACCAAATTGCCCAAAACATCATCTCCTACATTCCTATTCTTTGATACAACAATGATATATTTAGTCACAAAAGTTCATTGGTTAACCATCAAATGTGATATATTTGCAAAAAAAACAAAAACAAAAAGAAAAGAAAAAAAATTGGTGTTCTGTTTTTTTTTGTTGTTGTTTGTTTATTATGTTGTTGTTGTTGGCAAACGAGTTTGTAGTGGACTCACTTGACTTTGTCTCGTGCATTCTTTTGCCATTCGAATGTGCTCCCAAAGGGAAAGGCTGACATTCAACTACAAAAAGCACAGTGCGCCACAAGCTTTCCTTGTGTTTCCCTTCCTGGAGGTGTCCCAATACTTTTGTCTCCGCAACCTTGTCCCGAGTGCCAACATCAAGCCGGCATAACCATTTTTTTTTTTTTTTTGGTTAATGGCCGGTGCCCTCCAAAGCACATTACCCAGCATGCCTCGCTCACTTCTATAATGAAGCTAGCGGGACATTAATAAACAATCTATTTCCTATGAAGCCATTTGCATTCAATATGTTTGTCTGCTTTGAAAAATGGACGCTCGGCTTGGGCCTGTTGTAAGCTAATTATTCCTTTCTGTGTGTGCATGCGTGTGTGTGAGGCAGGCGAGAAAGTGGAAAATAAGATGGAGGGGATAACGACAGTCGGGTGGATGTCCAAAGGATTAATTCTGCCCTCAGTTCCTTTTTTTTTCTTTTTTTTTTGAATGCATTTCTTTATCTCCCCCGAGAACAGGCCGGCATGATTTATGCTCGATGGTGCCGATGGCCGCTCAGGTCGACTGGAAGCACATCACGGCGTTCGCCATTTCGCACTTAGTATTACCTTCTCCGCAAATGATCACACAACATCAATGAGATTGTCCAGGGCAGGATATGCAAAAAAAAAAAAAAAAAAAAGATGGTGTCATGAATATTGGCAAACCATTCAAAGAAAAAAAAAGTATCAAGCAGACAGGAAGAAAAGCTGTTTGCAGCGAAGGAAGAATGAGAAATCGAAAAACGGGAAGGAAGGAGTGAGGTTAAGAAAGAAAAGACATCAGGAAAGAGGTCAAAAATGAAGAACGGCAGAGTAGCAGGTTTCCATGACTGATGAAAGAATGTCGATGCATGAAAAAAAAAAGGGGGTGTGAGGGAAGAAAGACAGGAAAGGAACGACAGAAGCAAACAAGTTAGGAAGAACAAAGGAAAAGGAGGAAGAAAGGACGGATGGAGTGAAACGTACGTCTGACGGTTATGGAGGCGAGGAAGGAGAAGCAAGTTGAAGGGAATGAAGGAAGCAAGGTTGCAACGACGGAAGAATGGCAAAAAATGTTCCTGCAAAGGAAAGATGGAAGAAAAAAGTTGTGTTTTTTTGTACTGTCAATGCAATGAGATGCTCCAAATGTGGACTGTGTGGAGTCCAGCAACGGCCTTTGGTAGCCCAGCCCGATACTTGACAGGTGGGCCCAGGTGCCGAGCTCGCAACATAACTCACACAAGTGACAGTTTCGCAACCTGCAGTCGCCTCCGAAAAAAAAAAAACTGAAGTTAGACAAACATCCATCCATCCATTATCCGATCCGCTTTATCCTCACAAGGGTCACGGCGCGTGCTGGAACCTTTCCCAGCCGCCTTCGGTCAATCGGCGGGGGACACCCTGACGCCGGTCGCCAGCCAATCGCAGGGCGCGCATCGACAAACAACCGTTCGCGCTCACAATCACACCAGGGACAATTTGGAGCGTTCGATCAACCTAGCATGCATGCATGCTTTTGGAATGCGGGAGGAAACCGGAAAAAAACCACGAAGGCACGGGGGAGAACATAAACTCCACGCAAGGAAGGCCGGAGCCCGGAATCGACTGCGAGGCGGACGCGCTAACCAATCGTCCGCCGTGCCGTCCACTACACAAACAGATGACACAAAATTGCCAAAAGTGAGTGCTTCGGTAGTGTCTGTGTGCGTGTAGTTTTTTAAAAAACATCACAGCAGTTCAGTTTTTTGTGTCTGGGTAGTGCAGACACGAAATGTTTGACACTAAACTGTGACGATTCCCAGTTTCCATCCTCGTGTGTAGCTAAAGTTTTTCGATCTGGCAGAAAAGCCAAAAGTCCAAACCTCCAAGTGAGTTGCAACGCCCAACGCAAACATCACCTTGCCGACTTTCAACTGACGTTAATTAGCGCAACACCTCCACTAGCGCCGCGATGTTTACAGCTCACGCTACTAAACGTCTTCTTCTTCTTCTTCTTCTTTCGCCGTGTCGTTAATTACCCGAGCGAGACGCCTGTTTTCCTGACATTCCGCCTCTTTAATTGGGCCGAGCCGGACCCGCTTTGTCAGCCGGGTCCTCTTTTCCCGTGTTTTGCTTTCCGCTAACTGCTGCTAATGAATCTGCCAACTTGCCACCGTGGCTGCTCACCTTCTCTTTTTCTGTGTCTTCTTCCCGCCGCCCTCCGTTGCCGTCGTCGTCTTCAGGGCTTCGGCTTTGTAACCTTCGAAACGAGCATGGACGCCGACCGCGCACGGGAGAAACTAAACGGTACAATCGTAGAGGGACGCAAGATCGAGGTGCTTTCTCTTTTTCTTCACGCATCTTGTTCCTCGCAGCACGACAGCATCCTGATGATGATGATGATGATGATGATGGCGGCGTGCATGGCGAGTGCATGCTCTCTGCCGTCAGGCGCCAACTTGTTGGGTCTCGGCGGCAAAAGCCGTCGCCAGTCAAAAGCACGTTTGCAGTTTGTGTCATTTTTGTTTTGGTTTTGTGCATCCTGATCAGGGTTGGGCAAACTTTGCTTCTCAAAAAGTTTGTTTGTTTGTTTTTTTTATCCTTCAATTGCACAGCGGGAGCAGGTCTTGTAGATAAGATTGAAAAAAAAAAACTAAAATTGTTAAAATGTTCTTTAAAATTGACTTAATTTTTTTTAGCTATTATTCAATTTTTAAAAATGTTCAGGCACATGGAAGGTTGTTTGAGTTACAGTTTTTTCTTTTATAATTTCCAACAAAATAAAATGTCTTACATTTAATGAAATAATTTGTGCTCATTTTTGCAATGTTACCAATTAAAAAAATTTAGAAACTGTTTCATGCAAATGTGTTTTTTTTTCTTAGCATTTAGTAGAATAAAAAGGCAAAATTAACACAAAAATTCAAAATCTGCGTCAAAAATATTGACAAGCAAACATATCAGAAAAAAATGCAAAAAATGTTTCGATGAATCAAATTTTCAGCAAGAAAAAAATGTCAATGTCGGAAGTGTTTTGTCGGTTTTGTCGGTGGGGTGCTTTTGCCCGCCCTGATCACCTTTGTGCTTGTCGCGTTTTTTTCTCGCCTGCATGCTCACACGTCGTTTTTTTGCATGTGGCCAAATTGTTTTTGTTGATGTTGTTTTCCCGCCAATGATATCGTGTGTTGTGTTGTTGTTGCGGTTCAGGTGAACAACGCCACAGCGCGAGTAATGACCAACAAGAAAGTGGCCAACCCCTACACCAACGGTGAGTCTCGATACGCTCGACATTAAACTCTCATTTTAAACCCTAATCCATATTTTAAACCCTAATTTGAGACTTAATTTGAAACCCTCACCTTGACTTGATAAATGAATACCGGTCGTAACACCTGAAATCAAAAGTCAAACCCTTGTTTGCCTTCAAAGTTGAATTTGAAGCCCAGAACCATTATTTCAAAGTCTTAAACCCTTAGCCAGAAACCTGAATCCTGAAGGCATTTGAAGCCTTCATCCAAGTTTTAAAAGCCTAACCTTTGTACAAAACCATAATCCAAATCTCAAAACCGTAATATCAAATGTTGCCCTTAAGCAAGGCTTGAAACCCGAACCCCTTTGTTTGCAACCCTAATGCAGTCAAGTTTTGGTCGAGATGATGTGAATGGAATGTGTCTTTTGTCAAAGTTGTTTTTGTGTTTTTGCACGCAGGTTGGAAGTTGAACCCGGTGGTGGGCGCCGTCTACGGTCCCGAGCTCTACGCCGGTAAGTCCACTCACTCGCTTGCAACTTGCCGTCAATCTCGCCTCCGACGCCAAATGCGGCCCGATCAGCGGCGGGCGGACCACCCCCGGCTGCTTC